CTTTGGACTAACCAACGCACCAGCCACATTTTGCACGCTCATGAACAAGATCTTCCAACCCTATTTAGACCGGTTTGTGGTGGTATACTTGGACGATATTGTGGTTTATAGCAACTCCATGGAGGAGCATGTGGAACACTTACGCATTATCTTCCAAGTACTCCGGGAGAATGAGCTTTATGTCAAGAAGGAGAAGTGCACGTTCGCCACGGAGGAAGTACACTTTCTTGGTCATGTCATTGGGCATGGGAAACTCATGATGGACATGGGGAAGATCAGGGCAATCGTGGAATGGGAGGCACCGACCAAGGTAACCGAATTACGGTCATTCCTTGGGTTAATAAATTACTACCGGCGTTTCATCGAGGGATATTCGAAGAGGGCAGCCCCATTGACGGACCTACTCAAGAAGGGGAAAACTTGGGAATGGTCCGACCTATGTCAAGAGGCCTTTGATGACCTGAAGGCCGCGGTGAGCCAAGAGCCCGTTCTAGCTCTACCGGACTTTGACAAACCATTTGAGGTACAAACCGATGCCTCCGACTTTGCCATTGGAGGAGTGTTGATGCAAGAGAGGCATCCAATAGCATTCGAGAGCCGCAAGTTGAACGAGACGGAGCGGCGTTACACCGTGCAAGAGAAGGAGATGACCGCGGTGGTTCATTGCTTGCGCGTATGGAGACACTACCTCTTAGGCGCAAAATTCATCATCAAGACAGACAACGTGGCAACGAGCTATTTCCAAACTCAAAAGAAGTTATCACCTAAACAAGCTAGGTGGCAGGATTTCTTGGCGGAGTTCGACTACACTTTGGAGTATAAGCCCGGGAAAGCCAATGTTGTAGCCGACGCACTTAGTAGGAAGGCAGAGCTCGCAGCCATTAGTCAAGCGGAGGGGGACCTGATCGGGCGCATCAAGGAGGGACTTGAACGCGACCCCATGGCGAAGGAGTTGATGAAGCTAGCCAAGGAGGGCAAAACCCAACGGTTTTGGGAAGAGGACGGCCTTCTCTACACAAAGGGGCGTCGTCTTTATGTCCCAAAATGGGAGAATTTAAGAAGAGATCTCGTCAAGGAGTGCCATGACACGAAGTGGGCTGGTCATCCCGGCCAAAAACGCACCCTAGCACTTGTCGAGACAGCATATTTCTGGCCACAGATGAGGGACACTGTGGAGCTTTATGTGAAGACCTGTCTTGTGTGCCAACAAGACAAGGTGGAGAATCGGCAACCCGCAGGACTGCTGGAACCATTGCCCATTCCCGAGCGACCATGGGACTCTATTTCTATGGACTTCATTAGTGCCCTACCGAAGTCTGAGGGGTTTGGATCTATCATGGTGGTGATAGATCGATTTTCTAAGTATGGGACGTTCATCCCGTGCATGAAAGACTGCACAGCGGAGGAGGCGGCACGGGGGTTCTTCAAGAACGTGGTGAAGTATTGGGGACTTCCAAGGAGCATAGTGAGTGACCGAGACCCCCGCTTCACGGGCCGACTATGGACTGAGTTGTTTAAGTTGCTGGGGACACAACTCAACTTCTCTACAAGCTTTCACCCTCAAACCGATGGGCAAACCGAACGGGTGAACGCCTTGCTAGAGTGTTACCTTCGGCACTTTGTAAGTGCCAACCAGCGAGATTGGGCAAGACTCTTGGACATAGCCCAATTCTCATACAACTTGCAGCGGAGTGAGTCTACGGGACGAAGTCCATTTGAGCTTGCCACGGGGCACCAACCACTAACTCCACACACTTTGGCCACGCCACTCCAAGATGGGAAGAGCCCGGGAGCATTTAAGATGGCGAAGTCTTGGGAGGAACAAGCCGATCTAGCTCGTTCGTGTTTGGAGAAAGCACGCAAGCGGATGAAGAAGTGGGCGGACGAGAAGAGGCGGCCAAAGGAGTACACCGTGGGGGACTTAGTCTTTGTGAAGCTCTTACCACAACAATTCAAGGTATTGAGAACCTTACACAAAGGCCTAGTCCGTAGATATGAGGGGCCATTCCCGATTATTGCTAAGGTAGGAAAAGTTTCGTATAAGCTCGACCTACCCAGCACATTGAAGATTCACCCGGTCTTCCACGTGAGTATGTTGAAGCCTTATCATGGGGATGAGGAAGACCCAAGCCGGGGGTTATCAAGCCGAGCACCGCCTGTAGTCACTAAGTCTTACGACAAAGAGATTGAAGACGTGCTCGCAACAAAGGAGGTTAGGAAAAGGGGCGTTCCACGCCAAAATCACTACTTGATCAAATGGAAGGGACTACCCGAGTCGGAAGCAACGTGGGAACCTGAAGAAGACTTGTGGCAGTTCCGGGACAAGCTCGAGGCGCACAAGGCGACGAGGACGTCGCCAAGTTAGGTGGGGGAGAATGTCACGAATCTCCCAATGCCGCGGCATGATAGGCTGATACACCGCGGCATGACATGGCATACGCCACGGCATAACCGTGGCCAGGTGACAAGGAAGAGTCTAGAACATCCCAAGAGGAAGGGGGAGAATCCTGGAGGCTAAGAGAATATTCTAGACTCATGTAGATACATGTACACTTGTATAGAGTTGTATAGAATATTCTAGAATTAAACCATAGCCGTTAGATCAAATAGATCTCAACCATCCATTGAGGAGGAGGGCAAGTATAAATACCCCTCAAGGTGGTTCATTTGTACACATCGAAGTTTCCAAGAATTCAATAAAGTCTCAAGCTTTCTTCAAGTGTTTTTGCCTTTAACACATTCCCTTCTAGCCAAGCACTTAAAAACTCACAACACTAAGGAGTTGTCCAGGCTGACTTAGCTACTGCAAGGGGCAGAAAGGAGCTAAGGCCGCACGTGAGCTTGTTGAGTGAACAAGTCCGTGACAGCAGGCTCCCAGCTGGGCTGGTGGTCGGCAGGCTCCTGGCTAGGCTGGAAGGCGGGCTCCCCACTGGGCTGGAAGACAGGCTCCCCACTGGGCTGGTCGACAGGCTCTCTTGGGCTTCCGCTCCTTGATTACCCTGGTTGGTTGGGCTGACTCGAGCTCTGGGTTGCTGGGCTTGGGCCCGCTGGTCCAAGTTCGGGGCCTGGGCCGATTAGGCTCTGGGCCTAGTCCCATAACCCCATCAGTATCAACAAATTCTACTCAAAGAGCCAAGGACCACTTCCAAGAACATGTTCCATATCAATAATATGGTAAAAGTGAACAAGTACCATTTTTCTCCGATCTTTTTGATTGAGATCCCTTTCCCAGGACACCAAAGTGAGGCCATGAGATCCCTGAACAATACCAGAAACCTCACCATTTTTTTATGTGAGAAGAGTACCCACGATTGGGAAGATAGCTCTGTGATCCGAGGTCTCTCTGGCCGTCGTTCTCCTCATCGAAAACTAGTTCTTCCTCATCGCCACCAATAGCCATTTTGTTGAAGATGTTTTCCATTATCCCTGCCATTTCACTCATCTTCACGTTCGAACGTTTAGATGCTGTTGTTTGCTTCGGATTTGACTTACCCCGATCCTAAGAGAATAGTAGTCCGACTGCGCTGCTTTACTTTGCCGATGAGATGCGCAAGAAGAAACGCACGAAGCAGAAACTCCTAACCCTACGCGAGGGAAGCGGAAAGTATATTAATTAGTTGAATAAAGATTACGTAATGTATATTCTAAAGTGGTAACTTGTTATCTTTTTACTGTTTTCCATGTATCATTTACATTGTATTATTTGACACTATCTTTGTAAACTCTCAACATATGAACATATGACATACCGAATTACAATAGTTTATCTATTTTGGTTTTCATTTTTATGTTTTTACCAATATATGAAAACCCGACATATATCCAATAAAGATTTAAAGCTTAAACATACATGCCATGTACACACACATTGTTTGTAACAAATTTGGGATTGATGGAATCATTTCGAATCAACTATATCAACTAGATCGGATTTACAAAATTCATTTGCAAAATTGACTTTTCTTGATCAAACAGTTGCATTTTATTGACTTAATTAGGATGTCAATTTTTAAGTATATTCTAATTTGGATTTTGCGATTTTGAAGAGATTTTAATGTAATTTTTAAATATGTAAATTTTATTTATTAAAAATTGAATAATATCAATAAGAAGAATTTAACTTTAACATTAGTTGACAAAAAATATTGACTTTGCAAATCAATTTGAGATAAACGGAGTATAGCCCTTATAATACACCAACAACATCCAAGTCTTATTTCCAAAAGATTTTTACGTCGACTAACATGAATCATTTTATGATATCAAGAGAAGAAAGATAAAAAAGAGACATTCATTCTTGTGTCCTTTTAGGATGTGGTTTAATTTTAAGTGATTCTTTAAAGATAAGACTAAGGATTTGTGACACTCATATCTTGTTGTGTGTTCTTCCATTTTGAGCGTATTATATCTCGTTGGAAAGATAATTTGGAGTTCTAAATCTGTTGTTCCAACTTCATTTACAATACATTAATTAATAGTTACAGATTAACCATAAATTCACAAAATAAGGGATGTATAAAATATAAGGGATGTATATAAATAATTACTTTTAAAAAATTGGGCCACACAATATGAAATGTCTTCCGCGATTATGTACGCTACAATGTCGTAGGCCAGTTTCACAGATTTAAACAGACCAAACTAGTAAAGAACAAAAGAAATCAGTGTAGACAAAGATTATTTTTGAACGGATCAAACCATAAGACAGACAAAATGAACCATTTGTGACGTGCATAAATGTGCACAACTCATATAGTATAGGCGCCCCATTAGTAAGTTGGAATTGGGAGGTAATAGATGTCAAAATTAATGCATATAGGCCCAAAGCTGATAGAAGCTTGATTTATGATTTATGAAGGAAGGCCGGAACGGGCATTTCGGTCAGAACAAAACAAACGAAGGTACAAAGGAGCATACGGTTCCTCATCCTGTGTGTTAAAAAAAACATAAACTCTTATAAATATATTCAACCCTCCAATCCCTTTCCACCCCCACCCCCACCCACCCACCTCGATAGCCAGCACTCACCGCCACCTCCCTCCCCAAACACAAATGCATTATAATGGGAGTGGAAATAAAAACAAAAGGTGGTAGATGCATGAGTAACAACAACAACTACTACAATCGTTTCTAACACCTCACTCCCTCTCTCTCTGTCTCTCTCATCCCTCACCGCCGTCTCCGCCACCCGCGGCTGTGCCTTTACCTCGGTTGCCACGTCCCCATCAACTCACCCCCTCCACTTCCCGGCCAGGTATAGCCTCTCATTATGGCCCTTTTCTTTCTTTTTTATGATTTGCCCCCTTCCATCCCCTTATATGGTCGTGCTGAGTTTCATTCCTCTGGCATTGGCTGCCAGCCTGTAGTGATGATGGCGATATATGGGTAGTTTGAAAATCGGGTCTTGATGGGTTTTCACTTTTGTTGTGTGAATTTCTTTTCTTGGTCTTCTCGGTTTGCTTTCTTGATGGGGTTTTGCGCCTCCACGAAAGGTGGTGGAGTTGACTTGTAATCCAAGGAGGTAGACTTCCTCCAATCTTTGAAAAAGGAGCGATTTTGATGCTTATTTATTGATTTGCGCGCTTGATTCGATTTGCAGTCGACGATGATCTCAGTTTGCCACCTTGCTCGATCTTATAATAATAATAAAATAATAATAATTTCTTCACAGCCTTCGATATATAGTTCTGATAAATACTTGGTATGTCATTTCGTTGGATTAGTAATGTGTCCTATTGCTGATTAAAGTGTATTCCATCATTGCCGATTCCTTCTATTTAAGGGTGCAGTCTTCCTGCGGTTTCACCTTTAATGGCTAAAAACATCATCTTTCAATTTCCCCACCTTTGCAGTAGTCCCGATTTTGACTCTTTCTTATTTTTATTTATTCTGTAGTTGGGTGTTTCTTACTGTTTCTTTGGCTGCTCCTAGGAATACTATGGTGAGCATACGAAGGCGTAGACTCCTCGGGCTTTGCTCTGCTGGTATGTCAATTTCTGTTTATGGTTCCAGTGTTTGGTTTGTAAACACATCTTTTTTGGGTTTCCACTATTTTGTCATGAATAAAAAAATGTGTCTGGTGGATCATGGACTTATAATTTGTCTGGTTTTCTTTAAAAAGCTTGGAGTTTTCATATAAAATAATGCAAAATTCACCGAACTGAATTCTTGACAAAGATCATGTTTTTGTAGGTACAAGTTCCTCCGTTGCCCCATTTACGACGTTCCCTGAGGACGAAAAACCAATAAGCTTCTATCCAATTCCATCAAACAGCTTTGAGAAGCCGAAAGAGGTAAGACTAGATAATTGGATTGCTTTTGGTAGTTCATAGTTCATCATGTGCCTTAAAGATCATAGCTGTATCAATCTTTATTTACAGTGCACTAGCTGCACTAATACCACTGAACTTCATTTTTGCTTTGTCCAGTCTAACCTTTAACTACATGATCTCTACACTAATGCTGGTCTGGTGGATTGGTATTGAAAGTCTGGTCTGAAACTGAAATTTGTGCAAGGAACAAGTCCTTACAAGAATAACTTTTAACTTCCGAAGGATGTTAGCGGAGTTGAATAGGTTTGTCTGGTTTGAAAATAGAAACTTACTCCATATAGTTTTGGTAACAGTATCTATTTAACTGCATTAAGCTGATTAATGAAGGGGAGGTTAGTAAGTTTAACAGAAATTGCTCAAAATAAGAGTAAAACATATGTAAGGTTCTAAAATAGGACTGAGTATGTATTCTTTCCAAAACAGGACTTATTAATTCCTGTTAATAAATAAGAGAAAAAACTTCCCTAAATAGAAGTGTATGAGTCCTATTTTGGAAAGAAAACGATGTAACTCCTTTTTCAGATAATTTGCAATGCTTTACTTCTACATAGGAATTTTCTCTAAGTTTAACAATTAATGTGGCCAAATAGTATGCCGCCAGTCGAGTTTCAGAATTTAATTAGGCTCAGAAAGACTTTCAACTTGAGCCTGGAAAATAATGTGGGCAATAAAGTTTTCTTTTTCTTTTTCTATGTATATCCTACTTTGGTCCATTCTTTTACCCTCCAGGAAACTACAGCTCATAAACCATATAGTTTGCCTGCCTCCCCACCTTCAAAAGACCAGGAAGATCAGAAACTGTCAGGTTTGCTATATTTTATTTGTAAAATATTACTTGTTGTATATTAATGATCCTTGATACATGCAATAAACCAGACAACAATGACTTAATTATTCTAAAGGGTTAAAGATATGGCTGGAGGCAGGAAAGAACTTAACCAGAAACATTAAAACCGCTAAAATTCTTAGTAATATTTTAAAAAAAATCTGCATAACAAGGTGATTTCCCTAAATATGAGTAAGTACTGTCATCTTGAAAGCATATTGCCATATTATGGCGTAAATTTTGCCATATTAGTGCTTGATAATGACATAATATGGAAGTATAATTCCAGGATCGCAGTACTTTCTCTTAATTAGGGGAAAAACACAGTATTCCTATTTATGTGAAGCACCTTGTTTTTATTCCTATTTTGGGAAATTTTGCAATTTTTATTGTAGTATTTAATGAATGATGATTATTTTTGGGTTGGAATATACATATATGCTTCTACTTTTAAAGATAAATTTGCTTATACTAACATGGATTTGGTAATGCAGAAGTTAAGTGCAGAAAGCGACACAGGAGGAAACAGTTTGACAGCCAAGAACCATGTTTGATGAGAGGGGTTTATTTCAAGAACATGAAATGGCAAGCAGCCATTAAAGTTGACAAAAAGCAAATTCACCTCGGAACTGTTGGTTCTCAGGAAGAAGCTGCTAGGTTGTATGACAGGTAGCTATCTTACATATTATTGTTATTATTAATTATTACACAAAAGATTATTAATATTATTACTATTATTAGTTTATTACTATCATCATCATTTGATAAGAAAGCCAATTTGTACACAAAAGATGCAATCTTTTCATTAAAGGTCCATTTGGTTAGGGATATATATTTGAAATGACTAATTTGTTGGAAAGAAAAATGTTTACCAACATCCATTCCAATCAAATAACAGCCTATTTGGAAGGGTTATTTTTCTGGAATGTGTTGTTGGATCTATTGTTTGGTAATATTGATTTTAGTGAAATCTGCAAGTCAAAATGCCACTTACTAATTCTGTTTATGCTGCTTATGAGCATAATAAACCATTGGTGCTACTAAACTGGGCCTTAGGAACTGTTCAAGTGGACTTGTACCGGCGGCAGACTAAAACAGACCAAACATGTAAAGAACCGCCTTAAACAAAACAACATACTTGGAGGGTGTTTGGAGTTGATTATGTTCCTGCTTCTTTTTTAAAGCATAATCAGAATCAGAATCAGTTTTTAGAAGCTGGTCTCCCCCCAGCCTCTAAAAAAACTTATTCTAGGAGTAAATTAGAGCGCCAGAATCACTTTTGCACTTTCACCCAAACACTTCAACTTTCTGCTTCTGCTCCTTCAAAGAATCAGATCCAAACACCCCCTTAGATAATAACAAAATACACATAATCTCAGACCTTACCATGCTAGTCCGACTTGATAAGACTTAAACATAACAGTCCAGACCAGAGCATGTCCTTTGTTCCACCTAAAAACTCTCTTCGTGAAATAACATGATCAATGCTATTAAACGGGTCTAAGTGACTCAAAAACTACTTATCCTAGTCATAAGCAAAAAATACCAAACGAATAATAACTTCTTAGCATTTGGAAGAACTGTTCGACTCCACCGTTTATATGCTATGATGAATGGTAGGGCTGCATTTATGTGTGGAAGGGAACCGAACTTTGAAATCTCAGAGGAAGAGAAAGAGGAACTCAGGAAGTTCAGTTGGGATGAGTTCTTGGCACTCACTCGGTCTGCAATCACCAGCAAGAGTAAAAACTGGTTTCAATTCCATTGATTTAATAAATTATTTTCTAACAACGGGATTAATTATTAAAACTCATTATGTTTTTCCAGAAAGCCGAAGAAGAGCTGGTATGGCTGCTGCTAGGAGAAAATCTGAGGCATGGGGAGAATACAGTGATGAAGATGGCGAACAGCTGCAAGGGAATGGGTTATCAGCCTCAGAAGACATATCTGCCTAGTGATCTTTCTTTTTTTCTTGATTCTTTTTCTCATACCACAAAATATATACTCGTATATATTAGTGAGTATATATACAATATCCCCTGTTACAGTGTTAAAGAAAAAAATATTGATACTTTTATTTTATTAATACTCAGTTTAATCCCACAGACTTATCATTTTGTTCTTTATTCATTTGAATCGAATTTCTGTATCAAATCTTTCGTATTCATAATACGTAGTATTAGTTTTACTTTACCCGTCAAGTACTTTGTGATCTGATGGCATCACTGTGACACTTCCAAGGTCACAGGTTCGAATTTCATCCCAGTTCAAGGATGTTGACATTAACATAACATGTACTATAATATGTTTGAATGATTTGCAAAAAAAAAATTACTTTACCAAAATACCAAATGATTTTCGTATTCATTTTATTATGTTATGAAGCTGGTGTGCAGCAATCCAAATATAAAGAACAAAACGTTTGGTCTATACTTTTTTTTTACTCCAGTAGGTCTGGGGGAGTTGGGGGTCTGGATTAATCAGAGTTGAATTTCACTCTATTGAGTTTCAAACCCTTATGTGCCTAGCAAGTTTTGAACTCGATACCTCCCACTAGGTACGGTAACCTCACAACCAGCTGGGGTGAAATGTTGGTTAACGTTTGGTCTATACATTATCATACACACTTCACACATAACTTTTTGTCTTGTCATATTACGTAACCAATAAAAATGTTTGTGAACAAATCTAATATTAATATATGTTAAATACAACAATTAATGTATATGGACGAGCAAACCAATGTCTAGGAGAGACATTAATTATAGAAGAAATTTCACTTATGGTCCTTCGAGTTTTGCAACAATTCCACAATTCGTCTTCGTCTTTTATTTTATCCATTGTTGGTACTTGACTATTGTTTTCTTGACCATATATGGTCCTTTTTCGATAGTAAAAATGCTCAGAAATGGACCACAAATGGTCAAGAAAACAATAGTCAGGTACCAAAAATGGATAAAGTGAAAGATGAGGACTAAATATGGAAATGAGACAAAACTCGGAGGACTTAAAGTGGAATTAATTCTTAATTATATATATGAGTAGTTTACATGTTTTTCAAATTAATTTTCTTCAAAAAAACATGTTTGTTATAATGATTATCTGTGTTTTGTCTGGACTTGGTGCATACAAATTGTATACATGAAAAGCATTTTTTATTAAAGAAACACCAAACACGTGATGTAGAATGGAACTTGTGTATAGAATTATAATAAAAAATTATCACAAATAATGAAAACACTCACCTAATAGATTTTTGATTGACCACCTCATTTGCAGTATCATAAATGTATAATTGTGCAAATTTAGAAATTTCATTATGATTTGGCATCAGACTCCCGATCAAATGGTAGTTTTGTCCATGTATTTGAAAATTAGAGGAGACTCAACCAATGTTATGATTAACTTCAATTTTTCCTTTCATTGACGTGAAAAAAACATACTATTATATGCTCGTATGTTTTGTAAAAAATGAATGCTCTTTTCATCATCACCGTATAATAGATCAAGTAGGGTTTGAGGAGGACTTTTATCGGTGAAAACTTTATTTTGCCTTGGACACAACACAAAGAGTACTTCAACATTTTTAATTTACAATTGAACCTTAACCTTTCATCGTATAAAAAAATGCTCCACAATGTTGTCACTGGTAAGATGGATGTCCCATATTAAAATATGAAATGTCTAACCAATGACGTTTTGTTAAGAAAAGAAAACAAATTTTAAAATAGAGGTATAAAATATATGTCTCAATAAAATGAAAAAGTGTCATCTGAAATAGGAGTAGGAGAAGAGGGAGAAGTATGAAAAAGTGTCACTTGCATTAGTAGCACCTATAAGTGTTTATGCTATAATCAGATTCATAACTTTTCTAAAAGTCGTAGTGTGTGAAGAAGAAGTTGTTGAAAGGCCTATTTTTAGTTTATGAATATTTTGCAATTGAATGAGATTTTTTTGTCGATTAAACCACATAAATAATTCTAATCCGTATCACATGGAATTTAAATATTAATATTGAGAATATGTGTAATATACCACTATAGCATCAGTGGGAAAGTATGCAACACTGTGTCGATCACTATTCATTGTCAATTGTGTATATGGTAGCAAAGTATTTAAATGTTTTTCTAACCTTACACACTTCTCTTTCCCCTATTTCAATTCTTCTAAATAATATTGAAATCCAATTAGAGCATTTTTTTAATTCAAATAAATGAATACCTATGATATAATATTTTTTTGGTAAACACAAGTTAATGTATGAAAGTGATAGTTATAATGAGCACTAAAGTTTAAGATTAACAAAATACGGCTTATATAAAACAATAAATTGTGGCTAAAACAATTCATAAGATTTCATTAAATATTTGAATGCTTATTGTTGTGAGTCAATTTTACATGTAGGTTAAATTTTGGATCAGTGTTGAAACTAATTCAACACCAATAATATATAAAAATGTATCATACTATATGAACACTCGATTTTAAATCGAGAGAGTGAAAATCACGGGACATTTCAGGCTGATGTCTAAACGAGTCTATTTTTATTAATATCTCCTCACATTATTACATTGTACAAGAAGCTCCCATTAATGGAGTTCGCTAGCTAATCTAGAGAGGAGTGGTGGAGAAGAACATAATGGATCACAAAACATAGAGGAAAAACTCCTATTTGTACTTAAAAGGGGAGGAGTACAAATATATCCTAATGGACCGAAAAGGGCCAAAATGGCCTGAATGGGCTTAAACGAGCCGAAAAGGGCCTCACTAATCGGGTTCCGTATGGGGGTAATGCCTTGAACTTCCAGAATAATAGTAGGTCACCAGTCCAATATCCCAACAACTAGTTTATGAGATTTATAAACATACTTCATACGGAGTATTAGTTTTAAAATTTTATTACCAACTTTAACATTTACTTCCAGCTTGAAGCTATTAGGAGCCTGTTTGGTAATCAATATTTTCAACTTTATCAGTTTTATCAATCATTTTTGTTTATCAAACACACATAACCTTTGATTTTGCGCCATGAATTATACAATAATCAACAGAAGTGAGTTTTAAGTTACTTTTGTGATTGAATTAACTGAAGTTACTCTAGAAGATAATTATAGTTATATTTCAAAAAGATTTTTCCTTACTTATCAGTAAAAATATTTCAAAATGGTACTAATAAGTGGTAATTACCTGGATGAGCCATTTCGCCCATCATATTTCGTTTATGGCATCAGAATTTTTTCTTTTCAATTATAACTTTCGTATTTTCACTTACAACTTTTTATTACAAAAATAACCTAAATCCTAAATCACTGCCCCAGCCCAGAATAATGATCGTCGATGACTAGTAGTGCGGCTCCTCACTCTTCCTCCATCCTCATGACATCGCTTTGGCTCTCCGATCTCTGCCCTCGCTTTGGGTCTTCGGTCTCCGTCTTCTGCCTTCCGCCTTCCGCCTTGCGCTCTCCGGCTCCGCCCTTCGGCCTCCACCCTCCGCCCTCCGCCCTGCTTGTTTTGCTGCTCCGGTGTGTATTTGATCACTATATCTTCAATTTGACTTGGATTTATTGTGTTGTTTATAGCTTTTTTGCGTTTAGATCTAGATCGCAGATTCGTATTTTCGGTACTGTTCATGTGCGATGAAATCTAGTATTTAATCCTAATGTAAGTTAAATTATCATGTATTTCTTCTTAGATTTAACTTTATCTGATATTTTCAAATGTAGCTATAGCTTTTTTCACTTCACTACACCTTTTGTTTAATTATGTAAATTAGCCCGATTTTTTCTCTGTCTCTTGCATGTTGAAAATTGAGGTTCAGAAACCTACCACAAATAGAAGATCAACTTCTTTTGATACGGTTAATCTGATTCCTTTGTTGCATTGTTCTTCTTCATTTGAAAGTGGTCTATTCTGATTTTACAAGTATTTAAGATGCTCACAGATTATTTTGGTATAAGTAAATTTAGATTGTGTATGATTGTGTTGCCAAAGATGTAGGCTTCATTTTGATATTGAGATCAATGTCAACGATTTGGATGTTTTTTCTGCTTCTGCTATATAGGTTTATTGGTTTGTTGTAATAATTTATTCAATTCGGTATTTGTGTCATAGTGATTGCATTCCCTATTGCAGGCACGCAATAAAAACGTACATGCAAATGTAAGGATGAGAATGTTTTACAAGGAAAAATGAAGACAAAGTGGACAAATCTGATAAATTGTGTGAGCAACATAAAAGGAATAAGAAGTGAGGAGAATAAAAAACCATAGATGTCATCGATAAATGTAATGAATTGTAATAATAGATTGAATTATACATATTTTGTGATAATTTTTAATGTTGCTTTTTGTTTCTCTTTGTTGCATCGATTGTGTTGCTTTTTGTTGCATCTTGTTACATTTTGTTGCACCGTGTTGCATTCTTTTGTATTGTGTTGCTTATTGTTCTTTATGACATCTTGGATGTTCTTTTGCTTCTGTTATATAGGTTTATTGGTTTGTTGTAATAATTTATTCAATTCGGTATTTGGTTCATAGTGATTGTATTCCCTGTTGCAGGCACGCAATAAAAACTTACATGCAAATGTAAGGATGAGAAAGTTTGACAAGGAAAAATGAAGACAAAGTGGACGAATCTGATAAATTGTGTGAGCAACATAAAAGGAATAAGAAGTGAGGAGAATCAAAAGCCATAGATGTCATAGATAAATGTAATGAATTGTAATAATAGATTGAACTATACATATTTTGTGATAATTTTATATGTTGCTTTTTGTTTCTCTTTGTTGCATCGGGTGTGTTGCTTTTTGTTGCATCTTGTTACATTTTGTTGCACCGTGTTGCATTTTGTTGTACCGTGTTGCTTATTGTTCTTTATTATTGATTTTCATTTTTTTACTATTTACATTGACATTATATTCGTTAGTGATTTGGAATAAAAAACATATTTAGCTATATACAGGAACACCTGACTGAAATCATAAAATTGGATTTATGAATAAACAAAAAAATGTATGAAGAAACAATAAAAAACAAAAATAATTAAAGTAATCAACAAATAGAAACACAAAGAAACAACATGCAACAAAAATAACAATTAAGTGATAGTAATATAATAAAAATATTTTATGTGTTCATGGTTTTTAGATTTTATATGCCTTTTAATTTAATCTAGTTTTCTTTTTTTTTTTGTTCAAGA